CTCTGTTGACAGTCCCAGTCTCCGCAAAGCATCTGTATACACGTATTTCCTATTCGGTGGGAATATATCTTTTCTAGACTTTCAATCTTAGTTCTACAAATTCGGTATCGTTCATTTCAATAATGTGATGTTTGCTGCCCGCTTATTTTCAAGATATGGACTCTAAAACTCTTATATCAAGCAAATATATATCCGAGGTGACAGCTGTGCGAGTTTTGAGCCAAAAATAAGTAAATTTTATAATTTTTTTTCGATTTTCTCGTAAAATCCAGTGTAGCAAACATCCTCTGTATGCATACTATAATTTAAGTAATAATACTTTTGCAATCCGTACATCCAATACGGAGAAATCCCACCGAATAGGAATGTGGTAAAACAGGGGGGCTTTAGCATCGCCTTAACGCTGCAAATAATTCTTCAATTCTCGGTAAAGGATGTTTAACGTCGTCAAAATACTTATTAATTGTAACTTTATAATCTGCGCAAATCCTTAAACTGCCTTTTTATAATCGGCACTAAAGGCGTACCCCACAATGAATTATCCGTTAATTCGATTATTCCTTTCTTTTCTAAATCGTCTAACTGCTTGCTTACTTTTTCTTTGAACGCTAAGGGTATTGGCCTTGGCTTGACAAAAATCGGATGCGCTTCTCGTGCTACTTTAAGATCAATTTTTTTCAAATTTATATTTACCTAACTCCTCGTTAAATAAATCTTTATACTCTTGTAACAAAGCTTGAAGACTATTGCTTTCTTTTATAGAATACAAAAACGCTATGTCAATTTCTAAAAGTCTTAAGGTCTCTATCTATTAACAATTTGCTTCCTTTTTTAACTACTATCAAATAAACTTTAATTACCGTATTTTGATATTTAATTTTGACTGAAATTTAGCCTTCTGATACTAAAACACTTCCGTCATACATCCTTAACCGAACTTTTCAGCTTTCTAACTTACAATGACCGAATTTTTCTTTAACAATCTTTTCCAGTATTACAGATTTACCCACTTCCGTATCTAATTCCATACAAACAAATTGATTGACCTTCGATGTCAACTTTAAAGAGGTTATAAGGCTGAGGCGGGTAGTGAGAGGGGAATGCTTTAATACAAAAGAAATATGGAGTGTAGCCAACGTTTGAACATTAAAATTTGAAGAAATAAATAGCTAAAACTTAAAGAAATATGGATTTCAAAGATAAACATATATTTTTTAGAACAATAAATATTTTTAGCTCAAGAAATGATTTGGCAACGGTGTAAAACTGAAGGATCGAAGTTGGTAACACTGCAAACTGCAATGTCTGACTGCAATATCTGACGGGTAGGGTTAACGTGACGCTATAAGTGTTTTGAAGCGTTCTTTAACAAATTATTTAGTACAATTTTCTTCTGTGATTAAATCAAATGCTTAGAAGCATTTGTAGTGAGACTTTGACGGCACTACTCAACTGATAGAATATTCTTGATTCGCGATTTAGTGCAGTCCAGTGCAACTACGAAGAGCGGGGGGCCGATTCTATAACTCTTAACGACAGTCGTTGATGTCAATGCGCAGTTTTTTTACTTTACATAATATCTGCCAGGTCCATGATTGGATACTCCCTTAACTCGCGCATATACGGTTGAATTTTGGGCACGCTGACATCAAAGGTGTCGACAGCGAGTTGCGCTACTGTATATACCATGGTAATATAAGTCTTAAGCCTTAAGAAATTGATTAATCACGGTCGAGTGTGAAAAGAATAATCAACTATGATTAGTCAATTCCTCAAGGTTTAAGGGGATGCTGGAGCGACGGTCGAAGTTAATCAAGGTCGATATTACAGGTTTTCATTTCCAATGTATAAGATGCTTACGCCCTCTGGGTTAACATGATCATGCAGGAAATTCGATCCATTAATTATCGATATTTTTATTCCGTTTTCTACATTACCATCTTGCTCAGGGACGAAAACATGTATTAGGCTCGATCCCACAAATGTAAGATTTATTTTATTTTGGAAAATTTTCTAATTTTAAAATT